CACGATTCTCAGATATGCTAATGTACACGAAAAAGCGCCCCCGACGTCGGTCGCCGTTGACTGCCAAGATAATTTCCTTCGGCCATTTTTATACGTTCAAACTGGAGCCAGGCAGGCTCACAGCACGTGTGCATGGTAAAATCTGATCTACATGCTTTACTTTGAGCGCAGCATCGCGCCACGATTCTCAGATATGCTAATGTACACGAAAAAGCGACCCCGACGTTGTCGAACGATGTATCATCAACGATTCCCAGCTATGCTAATATACATGAAAAAGGCGCTGCAACGTGGTCGTCGTTGACTGCCAAGATAATTTCCTTCGGCCATTTTTATACGTTCAAACTGGAGCCAGGCAGGCTCACAGCACGTGTGCATGGTAAAAGCTGATCTACATGCTTTACTTTGAGCGCAGCATCGCGCCACGATTCCCAGATATGCTAATGTACACGAAAAAGCGGCCCCGACGTTGCCGCACGATGTATCATCAACGATTCCCAGCTATGCTAATCTACATGAAAAAGGCGCTGCGACGTGGTCGCCGTTGACTGCCAAGATAATTTCCTTCGGCCATTCTTATACGTTCAAACTGGAGACAGGCAGGCTCACAGCACGTGTGCTTCACAGCACGTGTGCTTGGTAAAATCCGATCTATAATATTCACTTTGCTCGCAGCATCACGCTCTGGGTTCCCCGATATGCCGATATTAATGTACATGAAGATGGCGCTCGTGCGTCAATCACCGTTGACTGCCAAGAGCATTTTCTTCGGCCGTTCTCATACGTTCAAGCTAGTCGCGGGCGGGCCGACGGCACGTGTGCATGGTAAAATCTGATATACAAGTTTCACTTTGCTCGCAGCATCGCGCCACGATTACGCGCAGAACACGAACGCACACGCACGAGTACGCCACCTGCTGTAGCCAAGTTCGGGTAGCCACCTGCCGGTGAGAATTGGTACAATTGGTAAATGTTAATGCTGCACACCTAGCTATCATATAATACGTATTATGTGATATCCATGCCTGCACAGTTTTAATTTCCTATGCGAACTCTCCGTGCAATGGCTTAGCAACATTTATAGGACTTCTGAGTATGTAACTGTATAATTTTATACGAAGCGCACGTCTGTGAGGATACTTCAGCGTCAATAACATCTTCATCTTAGCATTCTTAACATTCTCTGAGCGTTCACATAGGGGGAATTCTGTCCTCACTTTAAATTCTCAGGTAGGCCTATATTATCCCGTATTGGGTCAAGTTATTGTAGCGCAATACGAAAGTGTATATGTGTATGGTGGAGGATTTCGAACTAGGAATAGTAATTTTAATCTTTTGTCTTCGACAGACTTTGTGCTTGCCTGAGCGTAGCGTTATTAATAAGGCCATCTGCATTTTGCGCAGTGCATTATAGCATGGTTCCAACGATATTGACCAATCTTAAATATAATATGTTACCGCGTTGGTACACGTACTGACACGGACACGTACGAACACGGACTCACTGACGAAATCACGCGCACATGGACGTACACAACACAGCGCAACACAACACAACCCACACACGCGCACGCGATGGGGCAACATTCAGAATTATGTGATATATTGGAAACTGTACGGTATCCTCACAAGGAATGCCGACCACCCGTTGAGAATCCGCATGCCGTGGAAGCGTAAAGAAGGAGGGTCGCGTACAAACTGTAATTAATCCACACACACACAACTATATGAAACTGAACACAAGCAGCTCTCTCGGCGCAGGTGTGGAGGGGCCGTGGGCCTTACGTCAACACCTATATGCGCAGCACATCTCAGCTAGCTCCACACACGCGAGGGCCACTGATGAAGAGACTAGAAGACAAAATCTTACAAAGGTATTTTCAATATTATCCGTCAATGGAAGGGCAAGTATACGAATTATATTCCAGCATAACATCTTGTGTTATTCTTGCTCGGCCAGTAAAATTAAAACTTCAGTAGTTGACTCGAGTCAAGTCTTAGTAAAAGAAACCCATAGAGATAATATATGAATATAGTATATTTATACACTTCTATGGAAAAAGCGATGTTTGTATTGAAACGTAACCGTACCTCTACATTCGCGTATAGCAGCTAGCTGTGTTTAAAAAATAGATATGTCAAAATATGCATTTTCATTCTCCGGGCTATGCCTTTCACGTAGTCCATGTCGTCGGCTACCACTGTTTATGAAGATGTTATCCTCGCTCGCAATCACTTCGTTCACTTGAACTACGCTGTGGCATACAATGACTAAGATAATGATATTCGGGTATTTAAACTGTACTACGTTCTTTCGTTCTTCTACTACGTTTACTTAACCATTCAGAGAAAATTCGCGAAATCACAGCGGTTCTAGCATCTATAACAAAATTTAGTTATGCTCTGCTCATTTCACCAACTTTAAACAGTCGTGCAGCACCAGAGCCTGATCTTCAGTCCACATAACAGCACTTCAACCTCGGGTCAAGTAACAACGCTCAAACGTCGTTTTACGTAAACAACGCTTCTACTCAAATCCTCGTATAAGCACAACCCAACGCCAACTCCAACCAACCAACTCCATCAACCCAACCAACCAACAAACCCAACTCACCACCCAACTCAACTCCAACTCAACTCCAAGAGACACGTAACAACAACGCAGCAACAACAGTCCACGCAACAGCGACCCAGCGCAGCAGCAATGAACGAAAAACAAATCAGCATAAACTTGCTCTCGAGAATCTTCCATCGCGACAGCAACGACTGGGTGCCGAGCACGACCTGCCACAACTACCGCGACTACGTCGGCTCCGCCACCGTGCACAAGGTAGCCATCATGGGTGCGCCGAGGGTCGGCAAGACGGCCATCTTTAAGCGCTTCCTCGGCGCGCCGCTGCCGAGCGCCTACGTGCCGACGTTGCAGGAGACGGTCACCACACCGGTGGAGATCGTCGGCGGAGCGACGCAGGCCGTCGAGATCACCGACACGAGCGGCTCGAACGAGTTTCCGGCGATGTACGAGCTCTGCATTAACCGATCGACGGCGTTCGTGCTCGTTTACTCGCCGACGTGCGCCAAGTCGTACGAAACCGTGCGCAAGATTATCGACGACATCGGCCGACTGAAGGAGAGCCTGGATGGCGTTCGCATCGCGGTGGTGTGCAATAGATACATGGACACGCCTCACGATAGCCACATGGTCGTCAGTACGGAGGGTTGGGAGTTGGTCAACGTGTCGGCCGTTGAAAACGAGAACGTCGACGCCATCTGGAACGTACTGTTCACAAGGAAAATGTCGCCGGACAGCACGCAGAAGGCGAAGAATTCGAAAGGCAAACAGAGAAACATTTTAAATTTGTCCGGAACGAATCGATCAAATCCGATGTGACATCCACCGATCAGCCAGAAGTGCGTGTTCATTTAGTCGACAACGGCGTCCAGTGTACGAGGACTGACGAGGATTGCATTTGCCAATGCGGACACTTTTCAGTAGGTTTCTAAAAGCGAGTATTGTCAATATGTAGTCAAATAGTATCAGTGAGCTGCACTGTCGTGTGCTTATTAATGGTTGTCAATGAACATTGTATATTATACAATGTCCTGCATATTGCTAGGATAAGCTGGAATACCGAGACTTTGCCGAGGTTCCAAATGAGAATTTTATTGGTTACTTTTTTAACAACACTGTCGAGGAGTCCTTTCTATCTAGAGGTGCGAGAAAATTGGGTGATTACTCCTAGTAATACTCGTGACTTTGAGAGGCTCATTTTCTTGCCGAAGTTCAGAAGACACAACTCAACAGTTTATGTATGTGATTGCGGATGGCAGGAATGTCGACTGACTCCGACGACAACTCCTTCTTTCGGCAGAAGGTCATTCGTGAAGGAAGTTAGTTATCAGGACGGAAATTGAATACCACATTAACCAAATAGATATCCTAAAAGAGCCACAGACAATACATGCGTGCCCAACGTAGGTACTCGGTAAGCTACTAGATGCATACGCATCAGATATGAATTTTGGTTTGCTGGGGCCAACTGTAAGATAATTTTAAAGGGTACTATACTAATGTAAATAAACTTTGAAGAATAATTTTTTGAATGTCAACCTTGCCTAACAAGGCTAATAACGAAGAATCTAATTATATGCGCATTTACTCATTATTTTGAAAAAACAATCCGAGAAATCAGATTGAAGCTTTTCTTGTATTTCCACATATAAAAGTAGATAGATGTATTCGTTATCACCTCCGCCCTATAGCCTCCGAATGCGGACAGTGGAGCGTGAGCTCCTTACCACATATGACGAGCTTACCCCATATATATTATGTGTGGTCAAATAAAAGTCTACTCCTTATACGCCAATAAAATGCGCCAACAACCACAACAAGGAAGGTTTGCTGCAGGATTATTTTAAAACCAGAAATGTGGAGGACATGTACCTACAGATGGGTTGTTTGCGCTGTCTGAAATGCGGCCCTGGTTCAAGTCATAATTGGTTGTATAAAATTGAACAATTGTACAATTGAGGTTGTTTAATCGCAGACGCATGTGATTCCACTGCTGATACGACTACATTTATTTGACAAATTTAGGAATATACGCCGTGTATGTATTTTTTGCAACTACCTCAAGTGTCATTTTAGATCTACATTTTATATGCACTTTAGTATGTTAAAACACATTTTGTTAAACGTTATATACACGTGTAATGACCACACACACACACACACACACACACACACACACACACACGCGCACGCACGCACGCACGCACGCACGCACGCACGCACGCACGCACACACACACACACACACACACACACACACACACAAGCGGGCACACACCCCACTGTCCTCTCTTCCTGCCGTCCACCCCTCCCTTCCTACACCTTGTTCCCATCACCCAGCCTCCGTCCTTCTCGGCCTCTCTCCTTCTCTTCCCCTCCATATCTTCTTCCGTTACTTCACCCAAACCTCATGCATCCCTCTTTTTTCTCTCTCACTTGCTATAGAAACATAAAAAAGAATGCTTTTGTTCTTTTAATCATTTGAGAGTCGTATATTTTACACCGTATTACTACATTATTTACATGCAGTCTAAACATCTTTACATTCTCTCGAAATCTGTTTCACTGCTTTTGTGAGTGGACGTATAAACATGCGATTATACCTCAGTAGCGAAATTCTCACACGCCACAATTAAGCACCAGAATTATTTATCATCGACGCCTGTTTACACTCTCATAATTTCGCCATAATTTACCGACAGTCGCATCAGAACTATTTATAGTTACTACTTATCATTATACTATCGTAAACATCACAACGCATCTCGTTCTTTATTTGTAAACATTACAACGCGCTCGCCATCGCAGCGTCTCATTGTGACCCTAGCTCTTCTCGGACAACCCGAATTCGCTTCAGAATAACATCGCTGTAATGCCGGAGCGAGCAGTCGTGCACCACTTTGGCATTTTTCACGCGAGCGATCGACTTGTAGTGATTGAGACGAGCCAGCGTCGGCGGAATCGCGAAAGTCCGGCCGTAACCGGGCATCGGTTGGATCGTCTGGTGGTTGTACAGCGTCAGCACGCCCCTCGTGTTGAAGAAGCTCTTGATAGCTTGCCCGTCGCGCTGCAGCGACTCGTTGCGGTAACAGCGTCGCGTAAAGTAGGACGTTGTCGCTGGCCCGGCCGCCTCGTCACCCATCTCGACGAAATAGTACATATTCGCCGCACTGTACGCCGCGTATTTCCTCACCGTCGTCTCGAGAGATCCGGAGCGCATGCGCACTGACATCGTCTTCGGCGCCGAGCGCGACAGTGGCGCCACGACGTCGAGCAGCTCGCGCCACGACGTGCGATTGCCGAGCGGCACGATTATCTCGTCGACGTCGACGAGCACCAGGTGGCGGTAGCGGTTGATGCTGCGGTACAGGCAGTCGTTGTAGAGCAGTATCTCGTTCCTGCGCTTGCGCACGACGTCAGCGCTGATGTAGTCGGAGAGCGCGCGCGCGTCGCTCGGCTGGCCGCCAGGGAGCGTGGCTGGTATGAGCTGGACGAGGCCCTGGCGGCTGTAGTGTCGCAGCACGGCGTCGACGCTGCGCGGCACGTGATACACGTAGAACAGGATGCGGGCGGCTCCGAGCAGCGCGTGGAGCTCGATCCACTCTACAAGCTGCAGCGAAATGTCGTCATCGAAGTTCAACCCTTTGACGCACACGGCGAAATTCTCCTGCGTTCTTCGTCCGTCGTCGTCGTCGTCGCGAGTTGCCGTCGTCTCGCGTCTGTTATCGACGCGCAGTAGATTCGTTAGTTTTTCGCACGAGTTGATCATAAGCGACACGTGACTCGGGATACGGTCGTCGTCGTCGTCGTCGTCGTCGTCCGGTATCGCGCAAGATATCAGATATGGCGACTGATGGCGAGTAAATGCACCCCAACTATCGGACCAAATATGCAGCGCCGTACCTCGGACAGTCGTCGCCATTACGGTCGCGTTTCGGGTCCTGTTTCCGGTCGTAGTTCCGGCCGTGTTTCCGGCCGTGTTTCCGGTCGCGCGTTCGGTGTCGCTGTCGTACCAGAATGCGCAGTAGGTCTCCGTCGTCGGCGGCATGCGTCGCGCCGACATAGCCAGCACGCGAACGAAGGGCAGTCCCGCGATTCTCCTGTCGAGATACGCCGAGTAGAGATAGACGCGAGCGCCGCCGCCGCCAGCCTGCTCCTGCCAGTAGATATTACTAACGCGTACATCGCTGCTCGCCGGTCTCGGCGGGCGGCACGCGTGTAGTGCGGCCGGCTCCTGGCCCCACCTATACAGGTAGGAGCGCCAGTTGTCGGAGTGCGGCGAGTGGTGGTGGTCGGAGCTGCCGTAGTTCGTGGCCCACGTGAGCACGGCGAGTATGACGGCTGACGAGATGGCGGCGATGCACAGCAGCGAGCGGTAGATCGTCAGCCGACTCATCTCTACGAAGGCGCACTCTGCCAGCAGAAGTATTCATCGATGAACAGACATGCAGTGCGCACGAGAGCGCTCAGCGTAACGCGAGCGTGCGATAGCGACACGACGTCGGGTCGCCATCGTTGCTTTACTGAGACAGACACTCGTAAAACTCCTGAGCTCGCTAGAGGGACGTACGGATAGATAGCTCAGTCTAGAAAACTACGCGTGCCCCTATACTGGTTCAACGATTATGGCCAGAACCAGTTTAGGGCGGGCGGGTGTAGTGCGTGTGTGTGTGGGGGGGGGGGGGGCTGTTACTCGGAGGCGATTACACATATAAATCTACTATACGTGAGACCTGCTGCAAATTCTGCAATGATGCAAATTCACAACCCTCCGTAGTAGATAGGGCATTTGATATTTAATCGGACAATACATATTCCATCGATAACTACGTACACATATATACATTGATATGGGAATAATATTCGCGTCCGTGTAGAATAAATTTTTGAAGCAATAGCTAACCCAAACCAACGTCAGCGTATAATATAAGAAGCAAAATAAGCTATCATCACGTTTTTGCCATTGTAAAAAAACAATAGCTATACCTTTTTAGATCACATAAAAGCAATCGCTATAGTTGCATGTAAAATGTAATAACTTACAGCTAGATTGGCGTACCGCAGGAGCCAACGAGAGTGATAAGAGAAAGACGGCTTGAAGAGAAAGAGAGATGGGGTATAGGGAGAGGTAGAGAAAGAAGGAAAGAAATGTTTCAATGTCCCGTAACGATTTATTAGCCACATGAATGCAGGGAAAAGCAAGGATGCATTGTTTCACACAATTTCTCAAAAACAACTTCCAGGGGAGCATGCGCCATAACCACCGAACGTCTCTTCCTACTGTCAACTCACATCGCCTAGAGGGTCGCGGTGTCTAGTGATCAAGATATGGGGGGTCGTTGGCAAAATTTCTGGAGAGGGATACTACTGTAGCATATCGCGCATGCTCAGTATCTTACAACAAAGACAATATTAATGGGGCGTAGATACACGTTTACAGCAGAGAGCACGTGCCCGCCATCAAGAGGGAGCGAGAGAGAGAGAGAGAGAGAGAGAGAGAGAGAGAGAGTGAGGAGAGATAGAGATAGGGATAGAAGTAGCGATATAGATATAGTGACATAATCACTATATGTTGGGTTCGGACGTAATCATTGTTGGGAGATATTATGACGCCGTTGACAGCGACGAATAGATTCCTCAACATCCATCCAGCCTTGCTGAGTCGTGCGCACGAAGAGGCACATGTGATGTTTATGCATGATTAGAGAAGAATTCGGTTCCGGCATGTATTTGGATTTTTATCTGAGCGGTGCGTGATCTTGTCATGTCATATCCATATTTGTACTATTTAAGGAATCTCATAAAGCCAAACCTGCCTAGACTACAAGTGCAATAAGGCTTTGAATAAATACACGATTGTGTGTAATATATGCTCGTCGCAGTTGCGAACAATTCTTTTATATTTCAGCATCACTATTTGTCATGCGACAAGCAATTATAATATGTCAAATAGTAACACCTCTAGTTCAAATGTAGCCAATCCTATAGATATATATATTAGCATGTAGCATTATGTCATCGTTTACATAGAAAGCAATTACTACATTCGAACGTGTGAAAAACGTTGACTTTTCAGGTGTAAACGTGTTCACGCCGCCAAGAAATAGCAGGTGATTGTAAAAATAATAAATTAGTATGCACAATGAGTGTATAACATAATAAAATTACTGCATACATCCACTCTTGTACGTGACCCGCATGGGTGCGATATTAAGCTAACTTTGCGGACGCACCTCTCAAAGAGCCGCTCCGGAACATTACAAAAAACTGTGCTTCGGATAAACAAACAGTGTTAACGCGTATTGGTAACAATTGGGCGTTAATAACAAATCGAATGCGAGCAAACCGTGCGGCAACCATCACTACACAAATAAGGATATTGGCAACGAGTAAATGTGGCGGTTGCCAACGAGAGTGACCTACCCACGCGAACAGAAGACGAGAATGCGGATGGCATCGGGTATAAAAGGGAGATGCAAACCAACACAGGACAGCGTTCAAGGAGCCTTCTTCCGAAACCCTCAAGCACCCACGGAGAAAACCGACATGGTGAGCATAGCTTCTTTTCCAGCATTGCTGTTGTAAATATTTTCCCGTATAAATGTGACATCGAAATCACGTTGAACTTTGAAATATTCGTCATTCTGCGTATAGTATACAGAGTATGGTACGTGTGCACGCATACGTGTAACTTGCATAATTTATTTGTATCTGTTCAGGACGTCAAGCTCATATTCGCTGTCGCACTTGCAGTGATCGCCGCGGTTTCCGCTATGGGTGAGAAATAAAATTTTCTTACATGTTTGCGATGTTTGCATGCCACTGCTACGTTGTTGTAATATAAGAAAAGTTAAAGGTTAATTTTTAGATTTAATAACTACGATGAGCGCACATCGTACTGCAAGTATAATCGCGTTAACGTCGTTGCGATGTCCGACGTGGTCTGTCTATGCGCAGACTAGACCATATACTGTCAGATATTGCAATCATATACAATTCTATCACGCAGAAGTAGCATCGCATACGCGCGCGCGCACACACACACACACACACACACACACACACACACACACACACACACACACTCACACACACACGCGCGCGCGCACACACACACACTACACACTCATACCACTCACCACACACACACACACACACACACACCACACACTACACACCACACACACACACAACGACACACCTACACACAC